TATATATATATACAAAAAATATATATATTTTTTACTATTATTTTGAGAGCGACTATACAATGTCATTTTTCCTTGATCAATAGCTAGGCCACTATGAGAAAGTAGGAAATGGTCCAACATTTTTATACTATCGATCAATAGTTATAAGATGGAACACCAAAACCCACCACCCCGCACACACACACAGAGCAAAAGAGGCCTGGATTAGATAAATAAGTCATCTTTTGGAAAATAACTCATTGTTCAGGAAGTATTTTCATGAAAAGGGTTTTTTGAGGTTTGGTAGGTGAGCGAAAAAATATTTTTCGAAAAAAACATTCATTAAAAGTCGATAATAATATTTTCAAATCAGATATTATTTTTATAAAATCTTTTAGTATTAGAGATAGATAATCATGTCTAAATGTTGGTTGGAGGGACATATAAAGTTACCTACTTAACTTCCTTATAGTGCCTTGCCTACTGTTTTTGAATAATGCTTCATTCTAAGACGTAAAAGAAAGCTTAGTACAACAACTGAATTGACCTTTTGTACTGAGGACGATCTGTGAGATTGTTTAACCGGTTCTCAAACCTATTACTATACAAAGAGTGTTTTTTTGGTTAAAGCTGGCAAATCCAACCTCTTTTTGTTAAATAAATATTTAGGATCAAGAACTATCGACGTTGTTGTACTCCGTTGGTCCATTTAATGAATCCTCCCCCAGAAAAAGATCATATTGAGCAGCAACTTCAAGACTTTGAGATACAGGAGAACACTTTGCTCCTTATTTTCTTAAGAAATATTTTTCTAACACCCCAAAACCAGAAAATAACGTATTTTTCAAAAATATATTTTTCGTCGTACCAAACCGCCATTTTGTAGAGATAGAGAAACTAAATTATTGCAACATAAGTAGTATTAAGTGGCTAGTGACATAAGTAGTATCAAGTAGCCCAACATAAATTTTTCGATAATTGCTTTTCTCAATCGCAAATTTCTTTTAGAATCTTCTTGGATTGAGTTAGGTTCTAAATAGGAGAAAGCGAATGGAGGAACATACTAAAATGGTACCTTTCAGCATATATTAATGTAAGATAGAACTTTTACCACTAACTGTTGTTATTCAAGATGTAGATGAATAAAGATGAATGGAGAAGATGAAGTACAGAGAGTGACGAAGAGAGATGACTGAAAGTAGTGTCTTTGATATTATTCAATGTGTCTATTGTGTATACTTGGCTGATACATATATACACGTGAGAATGAGTGTAGGTAGGTAATTAACTAGCTTAAGCTTAACTAATTCTGTTAACAACTTCTAACCACCTAAACTGTAAAGACTCTTCTGCCTCTGATATCATTTATCACTCCCCTCAAGGTGGAATGAAAATATTAAGAACACCTAGCTTGGAGTTTAGAAATTCATGTTGTACTCTATTGAGTCCTTTAGTTAGAAGGTCAGCAGGTTGATCTTTTGTAGCTATGTACTTGGTTGTAACAAGTCCTTGTTGAATCCTTTCTCGTAACAGATGACAGTCGATCTCGATGTGTTTAGTTCGCTCATGATAAATATGATCTGCAGCTATTTGTATTGTTGTTTTGTTGTCACTGTGAATTTCAACTGGTAGTTTGATGTCTGCATCCACTTCTTTCAAAACTCCTATCAACCAAATAAGTTCTGCTACAGTTGTTGCAAGACTTCTAACTCAACTTCTGCCGAGCTTCTAGAAAATGTGATCTGTTTCTTGGATTTCCATGACCCTAATGAGTCACCAATCTTGATTAAGAAACATGTGACAGATCTTCTAGTAATAGGGCAGGCAGCCCAATCAACATCACAGTATGCAGTCACAACATTACTAGTTTTGCTAGATAAGAGTATTCCCCGACCTGGTTGGTTTTTTATATACCTTACTATCCTTAAGGTTGCTGTCATGTGTGACTGTTTATGCTGCTGAAGAAACTGACTTAGAGTTTGAACTCCAAAGGATATATCATGTCTGGTTACAGTTAGATATAACAACTTCCCTATGAGTCTCTGATAGGTAGCTTGATCAACCAAAAGATCTTTTTCTACTTGACTTTTTGTACAAATTACCTTATCATTTATTGTTGATGTGAGCTTGATGTTTGTATCAATAGGTGTTGTATCAATAGGTGTTGATGTATGTTTGGCAGCAGACAATCCATCTTTTGAAATGAATTCTAAAGCATATTTCCTCTTATGCATATTGATTCCTTCCTTAGATCTTGCAAATTCAATACCTAAGAAATACTTCAGATTTCCCAAATCCTTCATTTTGAAGGTTTTCTGTAATGAGGTCTTGGTTTCATCAATTACTTTCAAATTGTCTCCTGTAATTAACATATCATCTACATAAACTAAAATAATGACAATACCTTAAGTAGTTTTCTTAATGAACAGGGAATGATCAAACTGGCTTTGTTTAAACTGAACTTTATTAATGCTTCAGATAGCTTAGATTCCATTGTCTTGAAGCTTGCTTAAGACCATACAAGGATTTCACAAGTCTGCAAACTATCCTTATCTACCACTGACTTGAGAATCCTTGAGGCAAGTCCATGTAGATTTCATCATACAAATCACCGTGGAAAAAGGTATTATATACATCTATTTGATGTATGTGCCATTTTCTAGCTGCTACCAAGGCTAAGATAGTTATCACTATTACCATTTTCACAACAGGTAAAAAGGTTTCTTGATAATCCATTCATTCTTGTTGACTGTACCCTTTAGCAACTAATATGGCTTTAAATCTCTCAATTTCTCCAGAAGCTTTGTACTTTATTTTGTATATCCACTTGCATGCAATAGGCCTTTTTCCTTCTGGTAAGGTAATTAAGTCCCATGTATGATTATTTTTCAATTCTTTGATTTTTTTCTTGCATAGCTTCTACCCATCTTGGGTCTTTTACTGCCTCAGAATAACTGGAAGGTTCCGCAGTAGATGAAAAAGAGACAACATTAGCCTTATATTTAGATGACAGATTATCATAGCTTATATACCTGTCCAATGCATATAGTACATCATTGTGAATATTCAGTGATACAAAATCCTTCATCCAAACTGGAGGATTTTTGTCTCTTGATGATTTTCTAGTTTCAAGTTGTAGGTTCTGCATCTAGTGGTTGTATATTTGGTAGATGATTATCTAGTAGTTGGCTATATCATAATTTTGGTTAAGGTAGCTCAGTGTTTGGTGATTGTGGCTCAGATATTTGTATTAGCATTTCATAAATTTCTGGTAGAGAGACTTTTGAACTTGCTTCTGCTTGAATATGTTGGTTGGTTAAACCCTCAACATGTGTAGAATTACTGTTTGATTGACTGTGTAGGTCTGTGTTAAATGTAATTTTAGAGAAACTATCTTGTAAAATTCCTCTATCTGGAGTAGGAAATAATGGCTGTGAGTTTGTGCTTGACCAGCTGAAAGAAAATGTGTCTTCTCTGAATATAACATCTCCGTTGACAAAGAAATTATGATTACTTATATCATATACAATATAGCCATTATGAATTTCTGAGTACCCCATATGCACAACCATTTTAGCTCTTGGCATCAGCTTGTCATGTTCTTGTAGTATCTTAGCAAAACACAGATATCCTAATATTATGATATTATTCAAGGATGGCTTTCTTTTGTATAGTCTTTCATTGTGAGACATATTAGCAACGACAGAACTAAGAATTTTGTTAATTAAATAGATTGCTGCTAAAATGCAGTGCCCCCAGAACTTGATAGGTATGTTTCCTTGAAACCTCATAGCTCTGGTGATTTCTAAAATATGCATATGCTTCCTTTCAGCTACTCCATTTTGTTGAAGAGTGTAGACACATGTTCTTTGGTGTACAATACATAGATTCTTGAATAACTGATCACAGAAACTATTGACAAATTCAGTCCCAATATTAGTTCTAATAGTTGTAAGGATAGACACACATCAAACTTTTGCTTTATCATAAATACCCATATCATTTTGACGTAATCATCTACTGCAGTTAAAAAGTATTTGTTGCCATCAAATGTAGGTATTCTATATGGTCCTCACGGATCTATATAAATCAAATCAAAATAGTTAGAACTCTGAATACAACTTGAAAGAAATGGTAATCTTGTCTGTTTAGCACATGGAGAGACAATACATTTGTTTATCCTTTCCTTAATAGTTTGTACACTAGTAGGTAGTATTCTTTGTAAGACTACAGATGACATGTGACCAAATCTTCTGTGCCAAAGATCCATCACTAACTGGTTATCTGCAGAAGTCCCAAATCCTTTTGCAGCAAGTGCAAGTCTCTTATTGTTGTGAATCCCTTGAGCTAAAAGTAGATATAAACCATCATATTCTTTACCAATTTCCTTCACCCTCCCAGTGAAGAGATCTTGAAACACACAAAAATCAGAAAACAAAGTAGCTGAGCATTGTAACTTTTTTGTCAGTTTAGAGGCTGATAATAAATTGTATTTAAACTGTGGTACATAAAACACATTTGACACAGTGTTTGTGTCAGATATAGAACTAGTTCATATATGCGTAACCATGGTTGTATCTCCATTTGGTAATGATATCCTTTTTGGATCTCCAGGTTCAACTATTGTTGATTTGTTGAGCATACCAATGTCTGAAACCATATGGTTAGTAGTTTCTGTATATACAATCCAACTTTAATTGTCTTTTGATACTAATAATGCCTTATCAGTACCATTTTGACTATCTTTTGATACTAACAAGGTCTTATCAGTACCTGTGATATTGGCTGCAGGAGAATCTGAATCAGTAGTGGTTTTGTTGAGTATTTGCAGGATTTGAACATACTGATTTTTAGTGAAGGCATAGCTTCCTAGCTGAGCTGCAGGTGTTGAGAACTGATTTTGTTACTATTGTTTGACTGTGAACATGTACTTTGATCAGTGAAACCATTGTAGTTCAAATTAGTGTTTTGACCATATTGGAATGCTGGAACATTCTGAGAGGTTGAAGTTTGCATATTCATTACATTGACATTTTACATTACAAGCTGAGTTAGGTGTCCCAGTTAACAGATTGACTGCATTTGCATTTGTAATACCTCATATTCAAGTTAGAATGTATTGGTCTTTTACCATAACTTAAACTTTTAAAAAAAAGAATTAGAAAAGAAAGAATCAAAAAAAAGAGGGGGGGGGGGGG